TGTTCTGATGGACAGGGCTGCCCTCCTCCGAGTCTGTGGCTTCTGATGGTGACCCCGTCTCTGTTTCTGGCTTACTCTCAATGCCTGTGGAGACACCCTGAACCTTCTTACTCAGCTCGTTGCGTTCCATCTGTAACGCACGACAGAGCTTTTCCAGTCGCTGGACCTTCACTTGCAGGCTTTCGAACTCCTTGTCTCGTAGTGTTTTCTACAGTGGACACAGAGAGAAATGACATAAAACTAAGATATTCAGCTGGTGTAACAAAGCTTTAACTGACAAATACAAGAGATTTGAGTACAACAATCACCTCCTCTGCCATTTCCAGCAGGGCTTTGTTACTACTTTCCCATCGTGATCTGTACATGGTGGTTTCCTTCTCCAGCTTCTTAATCTTCTTTGTCATCTGCGGCACAATACAAATACAGATTAAATCACCTTCACATACAGGCTTTAGAGATTTAGGTTTCATGTTGTGAAATATGTAACAACGCCCAAGATCTATGCATGTATACAGGCCTTGAAGTCCACATGAATCCACAGCATCCAATAATTATTAAACAGTCATTTACCTTTTCCATCTCTTGTTTGAATGTTGTGAACACCTCGTTGCTTTTGGAAAGTGTGTTTTGAAACTCTTCAAACTTCTCCGTGTACAATGAGAGCTGTAAAAGACAAAAAATAAATTTTAGCCTCAGATTAACTTAAGATAAACACATGAAAAGTTAACACATTTTTCTAATTGCCGCTTGACTGTGTAAAAAACAACGCTAGGGAGTTCTGGGTAGTTGGTAGATCCCGCATTCAACGTAAATATACACTACTTTTCAAAAGTTTCGGGTTAGTAAAATTTCTTAAAGGGATAGTTCACCCAAAAATTAAAATTCTGTCATTAATTACTCACCCTCATGTCGTTCCAAACCCGTAAGACCTTGGTTCATCTTCAGAACACAGATTAAGATATTTCTGATGAAATCCCAGAGCTTTCTGACCCTCCATAGACAGCAACGTAACTGACATGTTCAAGGCTCAGAAAGGTAGAAAGGACATCGTTAAAACGGTCCATGTGACATCAGTGGTTCAACCTTAATTTTATGAATCTACAAGAATAGTTTTTGTGCCCAAAGCAAACAAAAATAACGACTTTATTCAACAAACTCTTCTTTTCCATGTCAGTCTCAGCTGTACGTTCACGAGAGTATCAAGACGCATGTGTGTGGTGCTGCTGACGCAGGAGCCGCCGTTCTGACGTAGAACATGCATGCGCTGCACCTTTACAAGCAGAAGATGCACACTATACATAAGTCTTCATATGAAGATTTGAAGATTTTGACAGAGAGGATGACTTGCAATTTTTTGCCCAGCCGTACTTATCTGAACCAGAATACAGACAAGAGAGATGGAGAGATGGATGTCCTACGTCAGAACGGCGGCTCCTGCGTCAGCAGCACCACACACATGCATCGTGATACTCTCGTGAACGTATAGCGGGGACTGACACGGAAGAGAAGAATTTGTTGAATAAAGTCATTATCTTTGTTTGCTTTGTGCACAAAAAGTATTCTTGCAGATTCGTGAAATTAAGGTTGAACCACTGATGTCACATGGACTGCTTTAACGATGTCCTTTCTACCTTTCTGGGCCTTGAATGTGCTAGTTCCCTTGCTGTCTATGGAGGGTCAGAAAGCTCTCAGATTTCGTCAAATATATCTTAATTTGTGTTCTGAAAATGAACGAAAGTCTTACGGGTTTGGAACGACATGTGGGTGAGTAATGACAGCATTTTCATGTTTGGGTGAACTATCCCTTTAGTGTTTTGGAAAGAAGTCTATTTTGCTCACCAATGCTGGATTAATTTTACAAAAAATACAGTAATACGGTCAAATATTGTTACAATTTCAAAAGTACCATTTTCTATTTTAATACATTTTAAAATGTAACTTATTCCCGTGACGCAAAGCTGAATTTTCAGCATCATTACTCCAGTCTTCATCGTCACATGATTCTTCAGAAATCAAAGTCTAATATGTTGATTTGGTGCATTAGAAGAATTTCTTATTATCAATGTTAAAAACATTTGTGCGGTTTAATATTTTTGTGTAAACTGCGATACTTTTTTTCCAGTATTCTTTGATAAATAGAAAGTTCATTTATTTTTATATTTTTGTAAAATTATTGTTGTAAAATTATTATTTTTCTAACTAATAACTGGAGCTGTCCTATAGGTGTGTGATCTATTCTATGTTCCTCACCTGCTGTTTCAGATGGACTTCCTGCTGTTTCATGAGCTCATACATCCTCTGGGACTCAGCTGCCTCTTTCAGGAGCTGAAAAAGAAAGAAATGACAAACCACATAAATCTTAATTAGTGACTGGCAGCTCTTGCCCAGAGGGCATAACCACACTGGCAGATATATAGTGCAAGTCTCACAGTACAGTTATGGTACATTCATCTCCTCAATTAGCAAATATGTTTGTTTCTATAACTTCAGCTGACTGCATGTTTGCAGTACAGTGTTAAAAAACTCACAAAGTCTTTCTCCTTCTGATGCCGATCCTCCGAGCCCTTGAGCAGTGCCTGTGCCTGATGAAGCTTTGCATCTACCAGTTGTTGTTGCAGATCTTTCTGTTTGAACACCTTGTCAATATGCTAAGAGAAGAAAACTCTCTTAGGTACAGCGGCTCCAAAACAACACAAGTCATACTTAAAAATACATGTATATCATTGCATTATACAGTATAAAATATAAAACCAAGTGTCATCTGCAAACAAATTTTGCTACAAATTATTGTCGTTTTAGTTGCTGTACACAGTAATGTTGACTAGTCACATTAACATATATATTTGAAAAGAATCCACATCCTTTGTCTTCCTTTTAAACAGCACTGTAAATTCTCTATTTTTTATCATTTAAAGTCTAACAAATAGTAGCATAGATGGTACTCATTTACAGACAACTTCCATTATAAGTTATTACACATTTATTTTCCCTTCCAGAAGTTTTCTTTTCATCCTTTATTTCCATATATCTCACCTCCTCTCTGAGCTCATACTGCTCAATAAGCTTCTTCAGTTTGTCAGCCAGCTCCATGTTCTCCTGCCTTAGGTTTGCATTTCGCTTGTTGTGCTGCTCCATCTGAGCTTGGATGTCATTCAGTGTCACCTGGAAATGTGTGGTCACTTCCTTCCTTTTCTCCTCCTCCAATCGGGCACGCTGCACACCATCCTCCTGCCAAGCACAGCAAACATCAATCCATTTATCACATTAAGCAACATATAATGCAACAAGCCTCTGGTTATGTGAAAAGTGAAGTTGGAGCAGACTGATAAAACAATACGTTGAGCAGAAAGGGGAAACAGCTAAGGCAGGACTCTGTTCTGATCACCTCTGAAGTAAAATTTTGCACGAGGCAGGCACCACACACTTGATGGATTATGCTAAACCCTCCGAACGTAAATAACTGATATCATGTTATTTGCATTCATATCAAGTTAGTTTACCTTAAGTGTGCGGTTGTGTCTTTGCAGTTCTCGACAGAGACTCTCCAGCTTGCTGCGTGCCAGGATGGCTTTGCTGTGCTCGTTTCTTAAGTGGTCCTTCTCCTGGATCAGCTGCGTCTGCTTCTTCTGCAGAGACCGCATCTGTTTCTGAGCATTACGGTTCTCCTCTAGCTGAACGAAACAAAGCAGGACAAGATCAAGGCTGTCATGGCAGCAGAATATAGTTAGTCAATACCATATGCAGTATTCAATCACTAGGGATGCATGATACTAAATTTCTGCAATGATACCAATTATTAAGAATTCAGATAGTTTAGTTTTCTTAAGGGAAAACAAATCTCTCCCATTTCATGATTACATGTGACATGATACATTTCGATAAGTTGTACTTTATTTTTTCAACATACCTTCTGATATTCATTTATGTAGAATTTGTGCTATAACTTGTATTAAAGTGGAAGAGACTCCAGCTCCTTGTTGCCGCTTGAACTGAGCCAGATAGTGCAGCGATCCATCAAAGCCACATTTAAGAGCTTCAAAACGCCACTTATTGTTTGAATTTTGTGACAGATGGCTGATAAGTACAGATTATACCAACTGCCGTTACCAATTATAGGCCGATATATCTGTGCATCCCTAGTATAATAGTGGTATATAAATAGTGCTGTGTTCGATACGACAATGTGACGATACGAGTATCGATACAGCTGGCCCTGTATCGATATTGTGGCACGTGTGCAGCAGTGGACCACGCTTAATTTGAATACAAGAACAACGTTTAAAATGTAGGAAGTAGTAGTAGGAAAGTGCAAGGTTTCTAAAAAAAATTATGAATAGAGCATGATATATAGGTTTAATCTGGCCGCAGAGGAACACAACTGGGTTGCCTGATATAAAGAGACGCAATCCCCAAAACAGAGCTTCCCACTTACGCAATACGGAAATATCTGCTAAATGTGCTACTTATCTTTGTCAACCTGGCAACCATATGCACGTGCTCTCTCTCCACTGAGGATAAACGCGCTTGCTTTCTGAAAACACCGGTAAGCTTGCAGTTTAGCGATATCCACTTCAATATTCTATTTTCAGAAAAGTGTAATTCATCAAGTGTTCATTTATGAGAGA